GCCGTTTGTACAGTGAAACAGAAGATGGAAGATTCATTCTCATTCATTCTCTCTCTCTTCTCCTCTCTCTAACTCTGCCTTTCAAATAAATAAATCAATCTTTAAAAAAAAGAATGCCAACACCAAAGCCTGCTCAATTAATGAAAATCTTAATGGAGGAGCTGACCTTGAGGTGTAACAAGTTAAGCCATTGCCTGTGATGCCAGCATTCCATAAAGAGGCTTGTTGGAGTCCTGGCTTCTCCACCTCCAATCTAGCTCCCTGCCAATTATCTGGGAATAGCAGCAGAAGATGGCCAAAGTGCTTGGGTCGTTGCCACCCATCTGGGAGACCCAGAAGAAGTTCCAGGCTCCTGGCTTCATCCTGGGCCAGTCCTTGCCGTTGCAGCCATGTGAGGAGTGAACCAACAGGTGGAAGATCTGTGTGTGTGTGTGTGTGTGTGTGTGTGTCGCTCCCTCTCCCTCTCTCTATACCTCTTTGAAACGAATAATCTTTAAAAAATGAAAGAAAATCTTTTCAGATTATTTCCATTACAAGCCAAGGTAAGTTCAAGACAACCTTGAAAATGAAACTAACTTCTGAAGTCTTACTAAATGAAAAAAGCACAAATAGATTCTCAAGTCATATTGCTAGCAAAACAGGTATTTTTTGAGCCAAATAAAGTCACAAGAAAAGTATAATAGTATAGAGAACAAAAATAATGTACTTAACCTAATTATTGGGCTAATAAAACTCAATAACCACAGTACATCAAAGACATGAATTTCATCAAAGACTTGTGTTGCCATTTGAAATGATGCTGGAATCTTCTGATTATAAATTTATTGAAGAAATGTGTTAAGGGAAGAGTCTGCTGTCAGAGCACAGATTTTAGTACAGGACCAAGTATTCTTATTTTCCTATATATCTAGTATACAGGTGTTGTTTTTCTTTCTTTCTCAGAATTAGCAAACAAGATATAGTTCTTTGAAAACATGGTTGGCTGCTGTTTCTTAGAAACGCGATGAAAAATGCTAACATTTTAATCTTTACTGAATTCCTGACACACGCAGTCTTGGAAATATCATACGAATCTAGTTATCAAAATCAAATTGATTATTTTTAATCAACTTTACTAATATTTTCTTCACTAAAGATTACATAAGCAAAGCAACTGAAACACTGTTCATTTTCATACACTAAAACACTATTAACTGATCCTGCGGGGGAAACAGGACACACAGCAGACTCAGAATGGCAGCACTCCTGCCTCAGAATCAACCCTTGGGACATTCGGATCTAGCTAAAAGGTCCATGAGAGTCTCACAGGCATGGGAAGCCATGACACGGTGGCAAAAAAAACCCAATCTAAATGAAAGGTCCTGGTGAACAAGACCCCAGCAGAAGGAACAGGCCATCAAGGAGAGAGGCACCTTTCTCTGAAGGGAGGAAGGAACTTCCACTGTGATACGGCCTTGACTAAACAAGTTCAGAGTCGGTGAACTCAAGGGGCTTCCATAGCCTAGACAGCTCATAGCAAGAGTTTCGGGTGATTGCTGACGTCATAAATAAGAGTGCCAATTGTTAAATCAACAACGGGAGTCACTGGGTACATGCTCCCCACGTAGGATCTCTGTCCTTAATGTGTTCTACTATGAAACTTAAAAAACAACACTACTAGTCGAACAATACCCTATACCTTGTGCGGTTGTGTGAGTGCAGCCTGTTGAAATCCTTGCTTAGTATATACTAAGTTGATCTTCAGTATATGAAGGTAATTGAAAATGAAACTCGATGAAGAGTGGGATGGGAGAGGGAGTGGGAGAGGGGAGGGCCACGGGAGGGAGGGAGGTTGGGGGGGGAAGCCACAACAATACAAAAGTTGCACTTTGTAAATTCACATTTATTAAATAAAAAAAAACTATATAACAAAAAAAAGAAAAAGAAAAAAAGAACTTAATACTTTACCCTTTTAGTATTTTTTATGTTCTACTTAAAACTATTGGTTGAACTCTGTAAGTAATACACAATTACTCTTAGGTGTTTAATTAATGCTATAACTAGTACTCAAATAGTATTTTACACTTTGTGTTTCTGTGTGGGTGCAAACTGTTGAAATCTTTACTTAATATATGCTAAATTGATCTTCTGTATATAAAGATAATTGAAAATTAATCTTGATGTGAATGGAAGGGGAGAGGGAGTGGGAGAGGGGAGTGTTGTGGGTGGGAGGGAAGTTATGGGGGAGAGCTATTGTAATCCATAAGCTGTACTTTGGAAATTTATGTTCATTAAATAAAATAAAATATAAATATAAAAAACACTATTATCATCATTAAAAATATCATTAGAAGGTTTTTTGAAAAACATGCATATAAAATGTTAATATACTCTTACAGATATAAATTCATATTTCTTTTCAAGCATACTTAGATTAATAGAGATTCCCTAAATCATTAAAAAGTTTTTACTAAACTCATGCAACGTGATAAGTAGTTTGCTACCTAGAAAGAAGCATAATTGGGTCTTTTAATGAGCTTTCAAGTTAATAAGTAAATATTATATATATATATTTTATATGGCTAAAATGAATAAAGCAGGGTAGCATAGATCAACCAACATTGAGAAACATATGCACAAGGTACAATTCTTTTTAATTTTTATTTATTTATTTTAAATTTATTTGAAAGGCAGAGACACAGGCAGAAAGAGACAAATAGAAATCTTCCATCTGCTGGTTTACTCCTCAAAAGCCCACTAGCAGCTACCACTGGAAGCCAGAAGCCTGGCACTCAATCTGGGTTTCCTGCATGCATGGCAGGGACCCAGATACCTGAGCCATCACTATCTGCCTCCTAGGGTACACAGTAGCAAGAAGCTGAAATTGGAAGTGGAGCTGAGTTGAAACCCAGACAGCCCAACATGGTATGAAGGCTTCTGGTATGTTTCTTAACTGATGTACCAAATGCCTTCCCCAGAAGGGAACACTTTTGACTGAAGAAATTCTAAGTGGCGTTTTTAAAGAACTGGACTTAGCAATGTGGATAGTGCTTCACTGAAAAGACAGATTCAGTAGAGGAAGGGAAATGCAAGGAGATTATTACATGGTAGAAGTTTTTCTTCCATAAGGAATAACCTTGGATGAGGTAATATTTGGGGTAAATAGCAGTTTACATATTTACTTAAAGATAGAATATGCAGAGGGAGATACTATAGGATAATGCTATGAAGTTAAAATACGAAGAAATCACTTAGTGGCAATAGGAAACTGAATATTTATAATTATGACAGTGATTTGAAGGCAAATTTGTATATTGAAAACTATTCTAGCAAAAAACTATACAGGATTGTTAAAAACCCATGTGATAATAATGGGAAGGGAGATAAGAATTTTAAGAATACGGTAAAAAAAAAAGGCAAAGGATTTATTGACACATGTCCTTTGTTGTCCCCATATGGAGGTTAACATCATGGAAATATCAAAGAACCCGAAGGCATGATTTAACTTTCAAACATTGACTATGATTTTTAAAGTTTGCAAATCCTAAAATCTGGATGCCTCCCTTCCTATACAGAGTAAGAGAACACTGCCCACCATGATGTCTTTTCCCAAAATCTCTGGAAAATGCCTTGGTTTCCTTCAGCAGCAGAAATCCTCCATCTATCTGCTTCCTGCAGAAGATATATAATATTTGCATTTGTTTATCCAATTTTCCATGAGCTTAATCTGAGTAGCAATCTAATTTATTCTCTGAGGATAGAGTAAAACAGCTTGTCTCTTTTCAGAAAGTATGTGGACTGAATTATTTATTTCTAACTTCTTAAGAAGCTTATAAAATGCAGGATGAAAGGTCAGGATTAATTAAGAAAAATGGTGCGAATTCCAACAGAAGAAATGTATGTTAATTGGCAAAAAAAAAAAAAAACTGTTGTAGCCATTAGCCTATTGATATTCAGCAAAATTTAACTGGACTGGAAAAAAACACCTCATTTCTAACAAATTGTGTGTTGTGATAATGTTGATTGTGTTGAAGCACATACAATTTTTGGATAAAACTGTTCCATGAGGGTGGGTCCTCACTGGCACCTCTTTCCCCCATTGTCAAGGCAAAGGAAAGCCACTGAAGATTTTGGCAAAACCATTAAGGGCAGATGGATTGGGTTGTATGGAGAATGTCAGTATTAGGGAAATTGTAGCTTTATCTCATAATGTCCAGGCTCTCTAAATAATGCAAGCTAATGATGGTATCATTTATGCTAATGAGAATTCAGCACGACTCCCCATGTATTTAGAAGTATTTGTGTTCACTGCTGTTCATTGATTTAATACATGTGGTAAAGATGGAGAGCAGATCTGGGAATCAGAATATATGAGATTTACCTCTTGATTAGTCTTTACTTTCTATTCCCTGTGTACATTCATGCAGAGAGCGTCTTGATTTAGATGTATAAACTCACTGCTCCAAACCATACATTCCAAATAAATCTCATAATCTTCTCTGCAAAGATGAATTTTTGTGTACAATTTCCCAACCATTTATTCCATTTGAATAAGTAGTTATTTGCCATGTACTGTCCTGGAGTTAGAGCAATAAAGACAGACATGTTGATAAGCTGTGCTCAGGAAGCTTATGACCAAATAGTGGGGAGCAGACACATAATGAAATGCAATTCACTACAATTTAATGAGTTACATGATAGACAGAAATGTTTCATATGGCTTTAACTCTTCTGGTGCGCCAAACCCTATAGCCAAGTGTCACTTAATTTTGGGTCAATTTCCCTTCATTATAATGAATATAATAAGCTCTAAGCAAACAAGAATGATGTTTGAACATGGTAGGCATTCAATAAATATTTACAGAATAAAATATTTGGATACCCAAATAGATATTAGAACTCTGTAGGTACTGAACAAATATTTGTTAAATGAATAAAAATGCTCTCCTTTTCAGTTAGTTCTATGAGAGAAAGTTATTACCTTCTACTTAGATTATCAGAGAACACCTTTATCTCCAGTTTCTCCTTTTTTCTGACACTCAAGGACTACACCACCAAATATACAAACAACTAACTTCTAATATAGGTGTTGACAAAATTTTCTCTAAGGAAAAGCTTGCAGAGTAATTATTTTCAATGGTGTCTTTTGCTACTTCTCCACTCTGCCAATTTAACGTGAAAGTAACTTCAGCCAAAATGTTAACAAATGAGCAAGCTAGGTTGTGTTCCAATAAAAACTATTTACAAAAACAGGCAGTACAGTATGGGGACCCCTGATTGAATGGCTACTCTGAAATTTATAGAGCAATTCCAAAACCTTATTTTACTAGATTGATATGAGATTATGGTGGTTTAGTGCACTTGTTCAGCAAATACCAGTTGTTCTCCTTTTTGTTGTAAAAGGAACTGATTGTGTATAAGGGATAGGAAGGGAATAAGTCAAAATTCTTCTCCTAGTAGAACTCATAGTTCAATCCAAAGTTGTAAACATATAGTTGGTATGCAGAAACACAAATACTATATTAATCATATGTACAGAATGCTCAGAGAAAATAAAGGCTATTGTCATTTTTTGTGCTATATTACTAGTGAAATTCTCAATAAACAGAAAACACATTTTATTAGAACTATCCAGATAAAATAAAACAAATTTTAAAGTCTCCATCTCCCAACATGCTGGTTGTAAACTCAGTTGTATTTCTGGTGCTAGTGGAATCTAGTTGAAGCATCCTGCTCCCAATCTCTTTGTTTCAATAAAAGATGTTCATAATTACATCTCTGAAGGAAGCATCTACCTTTCTCCTGAATAACCAAGGATAGCACAAAGAGAATGGATCTTGGAGTTAGAGACCTGAATTCAAATGCAGACTCCCATCAGTTATTAACATAACGGTGATGAGGGAAATATTTCTTATCTTCAGATATTTCACCTATAAAGTAAGAATCATAGTATTTACAACAGAGGAATTTGTGGGAATCAAAGGAAATAAAGTATCAAGTGGCTAGGATTTTTTTTAATTTTGAATACATTTATATTATTTGTTTGAAAAGCAGGGAGACAAAGGTGGAGATGGAGGTATAGAGAAAGATCTGCTGCCTACTGAAAGAGAGATCTAACAATTGCTGGGTTACTCCAGAAATGCATGCAAACGACAGGCTGAAGACTGGAGGCAGGAACTCAATCCAGTTCTCCCACAAGTAAGGCAGGGAACCAACCTTTCGAACCCTCATTTGCTGCCTCCCAAGTTGCACATTAGCAGGAAACTGGAATGGACAGTTGAGCCACAACTCAGCAACCAAGTAACCAAGTAACCAAGTGGCTGCTTAATTGTGAGGCTAAATGCCCACTCCAAGGTCCTGGATTTTTCTAGGTGCTTTGTACCTGACTCAGTTTTACCCATGGCATACGCAAGCTCTACTTTGTTTCTGATCTTGTTCCAGACCCTGTTCCTGCGTGCTGCTGCTTGTCAGCTAATAAGCCAGAGTCTGAGCAGCTTTAGTTTTCAGCTGTGCCTTTAGACTGTTTTCTGATCCCTGCTCCAAGTTTAGGGGAAAAAATGAATTATAGAGATCTAAAATATAATGTTCTTGTATAAGCAAAACAATTTAAGATAATAATAAAAATGATATTAATATTAGTAGTAACAGTAGGTAATGTTCACTGAGTGCTCATTAGATAACAGGCACTACATGTTTATTCATTACCTCATTGCAGTAATGGTATGAAAAAAAAGCACAGACACTATTAATCCTAATATCTTAAAGGTTTAAAGACAAAGAATTTGAAGTTTTAGAAGGTTCAAAGCCTTGACTCCAGCAAGCTCTTGATTCTCCCAGTAGCTACTCCCAAAAGTCATAACCCAAACAATTTATAAGCTGATCTGTCATTCATTAATAAAAAGTCTATAAACAATTAACCCACAATAGCAAGCTAGTAGTTTCTCTATCTTTATTTTATCTATGAATTTTATATGGCCTCAAAGTCTCATACATGAATATGAATGCTACATATCTATTTTATCTACGCTTCTTTATGAATATCTATTTATCCATCCATCCATGTTTCTTCCTTTATGTTGAATAATGGAGTTTGTACTCATCATACTCTCAGAAAATGATGTTACTATACCATACTAATGCATTCACTGATTACTAAGCCTAGAAAATTTTTCAAACAGTACGTTCTGCCTTCTTTCTGATAACACTAATTTGTTATTTTAATCTGATTTATGCTGTTACTGGAGTGTCCTTTGGAGCCATACACTTCCTCTAAGCACTTCTAGTGTGCTTCAAAGGATGGAAGCATTTTAATTTTCAATTTACCAGTATTTCTCTCTCTCTCTCTCTCTCTCTCTCTCTGTCTCTCTCTCTCTCTCTCTCTCTCTCTCTTTCTCATACACACACACACACACACACACACACATACACACCCTGTGTCTATATCAGAGTTTAAAATTGTTTGGGCCAGCATTTTGGAATACCGTGTTAAGCCACTGCTTGCAACACCAGCATCCCATATGGGTGCTGGTTCATGCTCCAGCTGCTCCACTTCCAATCCCCCTCCTGGCTATTTTGAGCATGGAAAAGCAGTGGAAGATGGAACAAGTGCTTGGGCTCCTGCCATTTCTGTGGCAGTCCAGGAAGAAGTTCCAGGATTCAGTTTGGCCCAGACATGGCTATTGCAGCCATTTGCAAAGTGAACCAGCAGATGGAAGATTCTTTGATTCTTCCTTGCTTCCTTCCTTCCTTCCTACCGTCCTACCTACCTACCTACCTATCATCTATCTATCTATCTAATCTATCTCCCCCACCTCACACACCAATAACTGCTATGTTCGTATAAATAAATCTTTAAAAAACTTGAAGACCAGATGGAAAATGTATTTTTTGGAAAGAGTGGAAGGTGATCACTTAACTTGTTGAAAATTTTACTAGATGATAAACATCAGCTCCAGTTTGAGAACAAATAGCAACTGACAGCTCTGATTCTCCATCTGCTTCAGTGATGAGGACATAATTGGAGTTGGTAGGAAGCATGTTAAATTTGCAGGTTTTTTTTAACCTTGACTTCACATTAGAATTACCAAGGAAGTTTTTTATTAACCTTTTTATTTTTTAGAAATATGCATATGTAGGGAATAATACGGCATATTCCCATGTGTACTTTATCCCTTCAAAAACAATACTATATCACAAACTGCAGTACAATATCACTCCAGGGTGTTGCCATCAGCACAGCTAGGATACAGGCAATTTTCATCACCACAAGGATATTTCTCATTTCCTTTTTATAACCATATGTACTTTCCTTCTTCACTTAGCACCCTTTCTTTGGCACACAGAAAGCATTCATCTGTGCCTCATTTCTCCAGTTTTGTCATTTTACCATGACATGAAATCACACACTCATCCAGCTTGTGCATTTGGGGATTGACTTTTCACTCAATAGGATTATCTGGAGATTCATTAAATTGTTGGTTAAATTCTGCATGGAATAGTTCATAGATTGTTTATTTTGCTGAGTATGTTCCATGATCTGGATAGACACAGTTTGGTTAATCTTTCACCCGCTGAAGAATATCTAGGTTGTTTCCAGCTTGGACTTACTATAAGTAGAACTGCTATATGCATAAGCACACAGATTTTTGTACAACCAAGTTTTCACTTCTCTGAAAAAAATGCCCATGTATGGAATTTCTGGTAAAATAATAGTTCCATGTTTAATTTTTTAAGATTTATTTATTTGAAAGGCAGAGTTACAGAGAGGCAGAGAGAGAGAGAGAGAGAGAGAGAGAGAGAGACAGAGAGGTCTTCCATTTGCTGGTCCACCTCCCAAATGGCCACAACTGCAGGAGCTGAGCTGATCCAAAGCCAGGAGCCAGGAGGCTCCTCCAGGTTCCCTATGTGGGCGCAGAGGGCCCAAAACTTGGGCTATCCTCTATTGTTCTCCCAGGCCATAGCAGAGAGCTGGATTGCAAGTGGAGTAGTCAAGACTTGAACCAGTGCCCACATGGGATGCCGGCATTGCAAGTGGGGGCCTCATCCACTATGCCACATGCTCAAGCTGACTTACCTCAAATGGTAGAGTTAGAAACATACCAGGGAATTCCAATTCAATCCCATCAAGGTGGCATGTACCAATGCCATCTCACTAGTCCCAGTGATCAAATTCTGTTCACAATTGATCATAATGATAGGACTAAGAACCAAAGGGATCACATAAACAAGAATAGTGTCTGCAAATACTAGCTGATAGAATCAAAAAGGGAGAGAATGATCCAACATGGGAAGTGAGATACACAGCAGACCCATAGAATGGCAGCTGTCCTAAACAGCACTCTGGCCTCAGAATCAGCCCTTAAGGCATGCGGATCCAGCTGAAAAGCCCATGAGAGTATTTCAGGCATGGAAAGCCAAGACACTCTGGGGGAAAAAAAACAAAAAAAAAAACAAAAAAAACTAAATGAAAGATCTCCACGAGTGAGATCCCAGTGGAAAGATCGCGTTTAATTTTTAAAGAATGCCAAAAGTTTTCTAGAGGAGCCGAACAAGTTTATGTTTTCACTAGCAATGCATCAATGATCCAGTTTTCCTATATCCTTGCAAGCATTTGGAGTTGTCATTGTTGGCTGTTGTTGTCGTCTGTTTTTTGCTGTTTTAAAAATTTTAGCTATTCTGAGAGTGATGTCTCACTGAGGTTTTAATTTATAATTCCAAATGACTAATATGGAATATCTTTTCATGTGGTTATTTGCTATTTATCTCCTTTGCCAAAATGTCTTTCCATTCTTTTACTTATTTTCTGAACTGAGTGTTTGTTTTTATTGTTGTTGAGTGTTGAGAGCTCTTTGTATGTTCCAAGTACCAGTCTTTGGTCTCAGAAGACATTTGTAAATATTTCTCCCATCATGTAGATTGCTTTTGCATCCTGTTTGTGAAATTATTTGCAGAGCAAAGATTTTAGTTTTAATGAAATATATCATTTTTTCCTTTAATGACACATGGTTTGGTTGTAAAAGCTAAGAACCCAGTTCCTATCCAGGATTATGAATACTGTCTCATGTTCTAAAAAAAAAAGTATAATTTTAGATTGTACATTTTAAGTTCACCTTTATATAAATTGTAGGATCAGGTTGAAGATTATTTTTGTTTTATTTTATTACTGACAATGTATATTCAGTTACTCCAGCACCATTTGTTGAAAAAGTTTTTATCTTTGCTAGATTAATTTTGCAACTTAATCAGAAATAGATTGGACATTTTTTTTTATATTTGTGCAGTTTTATTTCTAAGTTCTGCCCTCTGCTCCATTATCAATGAGCCTTTCCCCTACTGATACCAGTTATGAACCAGGGTAGTGAGATAATTGTCTTAAAATCAGGTAGTGATTGCTTCCATCTTATTATTCTTTGCAAAATTGTTTTTAGTTAACATTAGAGTTCTTTTATCTTGCATACAAATCTAGAATAACTTTCTGTGTATCTCCTAAATATCTTGCTGGGATTATGCAGGAATCAGGTTAAAACCACACATCAAATTCTGGAAAGTTATATTTATTATGTTGATACTGAGTTTTTCTATCAACGAACTGACATTTCTCTCCATCTACTTATATATTTTTTTATACTTTCATCAGTATTTCAAAATTTTCAGCATGCAAGTCCTGTCTATGTTTTGTTGGGTTTACCCTTAAGTATTTCATTCCCTGAGAAACTGTAAATGATATTACATTTTTAATTTTTGTGTTTAGTGCTATTTGTGTAAATATTTTTATACTGATGAATTCTGTCTGCTAATACTTAAGTTTTTTTTTTTTTTAACCTATATCCATGAGGGAAATTGGTTAGCATTTTCCTCCTTTTTTGGTACTGTTTTGTCTGTTTAGTATTAGAGTAATTCTAACTTCATGAAGTAACCTGTGTTCTCTTAT